ATGTTCAGGGTTGTAATGAATATCAATTAATTTTTAGTAAAAATATTTTCAAAATTGATCTAAAAAATAATGTAATTCCTGTATTGGTTATAGCAATCTGGAAAACATTTTCACAGTCTTCCTATTCTCTTTGGTAATGAAATTTTCATAGCACTTACAGAAAACTTTAGAAATAATGACATTTTAGTTACATAAAACAATTTTGACCCAGTTTTGTGTCATCAAAAACAGAGCAGTATAATTTCTTGTGGGACTACATCCCACCAGGTTGTAGGAATGTTGTGTCCAGGTACAAAAGGAAAACTTTGGCATACTAAATCCCTGAACTTATCAAATCCTGTGAGGAAGGGCAACTTGGCAGGATGAGAGGGAGCTTTGAACTCACTGGGCCCTTGGCCTGCATTCAAACTTTCTTACTAAGGAGCATTGTGACTCAGAGGGCTCTTCTATATGTTTGTAGCCAAAATATCCATTCAGAATAAGTGGGCATGACCAGTCTGTCTTCCTACTGGACTGTGTACACCTCAGGAGGAAGGACTATTATTCTAGCTTTGCTTTGCTCATCTGTAAGATGGGAATAATTTGGAGCACCTCCACGATGCCTGGCAAGTTTAATAAGGCAATGTACATAAAAGCACCTGACACTTGTTCTCAACAGCACAATAATTATTGTTTGTGTCTGTCATTCCTGTGATAGTGTAGTGCCCTTTCTTCCTAACTAGTGCTACAATCAAGGATGTCTTCATGTGACATGCATAACAACCACCCACATGTAAACTCAAGCTGGCCTCAACCAATCTGTCTCCATAAGACCTTCCATCAACTCTCTGACTCCAGAGTTGGGATGTTTTAAAACATATAGTTAATACCATAAGTTGGCAAACTGGTTTTATAAAAAAAAACAACCCAGCATTATGGCTATATTAAGATTTTATGGAAACTATCCAGGCATTCTCGACAGCATGGTTTAAAACACAGGAGCTGCTCAGTTAAATGGGGGTCTGGATGGTTTTCACCTGGACATAGTCCAAATGCTAACAACCAAGTTTTACAAAGGAGCTTGATATTTGGAGCTGCCATCTCCTCAACAGTACTCACAAACAAGTTAAGAACTAACTGGATGTACACCCTTGAGTTCATAGAACCTGCCTGAAAATCCTTTTCGGGGCAACTTAATGCATCTTATCTGTTCCTATCTATGATGGCCCATAAAAGACCAACAAGGTCATGCATTTGGGAAGGCCATTGAACTGACAGGTAAATGGCAAGATGTTATAATCCACTGGATGAATCAATCCAACTGAACAAAGAAAATCCAAGTTCTTCGGTTTGGTTATGTTTTCTTCCTCATTGCTCTTTAATAACTTCATTAAGAAACTACAGGTGGTGGGCACCTGTAGTCCCAGCTACTCAGGAGGCTGAGGCAGGAGAATGGCGTGAACTCGGGAGGCGGAGCTTGCAGTGAGCCGAGATTGTGCCATTGCACTCCAGCCTGGGCGACAGAGCGAGACTCTATCTAGGGGAGCAACGGGGGAGGGGAGGGAAGGGGGCGGGGGAGCGGGGGGTGGGGGAAGAAAAAGAAAAACTACAAAGTAACACAATGTCTGGTGAGTCCATTCAGAGCCTGAATCCTGTCATTGAAATAAACAGATCTCTTTGAGACAAAATAGACAGACATGATATTACTGTGTAAACATACAATTCCACAGCCGTGAAAATCACAATTTCACCTTCTTATGCCCATGCTTCACCCTGTTTTTTGGGACAGAGACATTTTTGAGGGAGATTAGAAACACCGTTTGATTTAGAAGACCTAGGTGGGCCCTGTTCCAAGACTGTAACATAGCTCAGAATCATAGAGGCTGAGGGGTGGGAGACCAACTTTTCTCCTCCAGAAAGTATTGATGATTAAAGTTAAATGTATTTTTATGTTGCTAGATTTAATTACTAAAAAGTATAACTGCTTAAATTTGAACACTGACAAGTGTTTGTTGGTGTAGCTGCATGTGTAGACACATATACTCATTAATTTGTTTAATTCCCTTTAACAGACTCTGTCTGTATAGTTTAAAATAAAAATAAATTCTCCTGTGATTTAACCTCATATCTTCTGTATACTAGGTCAGTGCTTTCCCCCACAATACCACAACTGACAGAAAGGAGGGGATTAAACCTAGGTCTCCAAACTTCCCCAATTCAGTACTCTTGCCTCGTAAGCATTCAGAGTTCCAGCTGAAGCAGGTAGGATGTCATGGCATGAATGGACACTGATAAAAAGCACTGTATGCCAATGGAGTACACTGAGAAGAAAAATACCCAGTTTTCCAAAAAGCCAGTCATATTGTTGGGGTCAGGGTCAGAGACAGCAGTAATTGTCAAAAAGAAAGAGGGAGACTGGCTAGTTCCAAGTTTATACTCAGGCACACTGTGGCCAATGTTTTCAGACCTGGTGCCCATGTGTATAATCCTTATAAACAATGCATACTCCAATGGAAGATCTGCGTTTTGTCAACCAGGGAAAACAGGCCAAGATGAGGAAAAGTAATGAAGTGTCCCAGTAATTAAGGGATTCTGTTTTACAAGACTCTAATCTCTCTTTACTGCACTAAGTGTCAGGAGTGTGCTTAGGACACTTTCTGGCCTTGGGTCTTTCCTGCATCACGGCTGACTTACAGGCTGCTTCTCACCAAGGTGCAGACATTAGCAGTCTGTTTACACTCAGAACAATCTTAATCACCTGGAGGATTACCCTGCCAAATGGAAAATCCTAGGAGGTGGCTTAAAAAGCACACCGTAGCTCAATGTGGGAGAATGATAGTAATGGCTAAGCCAATAATTTGGAAGCTAAAAATAAAAATAACTTTATTACAATTCTGATCTGTCCTATGTTAAACCCATACCCTACCGTAAGAAGGAAACTTATTCCAGCTAAAATATGATGGACAGTGCTTGGACTTCAGATTAAACAGACAAAAAGAGAGGAGCTCATTCATAAAATGAACTCAGTGTCTTCTAGTTTTACTGATGCTTCCTATAGAGTATTTTAGTTGTATTGACTACACTATATATTACTGTGCTGCGAAGTGCTGTTCTCTGGAAATGCAGCCTCTAACTATAAACCACAATTGACAAGTTTATTTCTGTTAGTTACAAACTACTGAAACATTGCATTCTACGGTATATATAGCAAGCAGCATATTTCACAGTGGGAGCCTAATACTCTTGCTTTAGGAGTAAGTAATTTTACACAGGAAAATATATTTTTGGAAACTTGTGTTGATTTTCTAAGCGCGTGTGAGTGTGTGTGTGTGTGTGTGTGTGTGTGTGTGAATCTTACTGACTTTAATGGGGATGAAGTGAGACAAGTGTGAAGGCAGGGAGGATTAGATCTATTATTTCCTAGAATAACAAGGGGGAGGGCAGTTCAAAACGTGATTAATGGAAAAGCTAAAATATACAGCATCAAAGATGACTTTGATTTTTGTGTTTTCATATAATTTGGTCCTTAAATCGGGATTATGGTTTTATTATCCCCTTCTCTTGTTTCTTCTTGCTTCTTAAAATTGAGAATTCTTGGTTGTTGAAATTGAACTTTGAATTAGAAGGCCCAGATCAGTCTAGAAAAGCAAATAAATGAACCAGTGATGGGGTCAGGCCTTTGGGGCTTTGCTACTGCCCTGCACCAAGAATGTAGAAATGTCACTTACTTTCTCAAATCCTCGGTCTATTTGGGAGTCATTCCCAGTTGTTTTATGCAATTATTCATGATCTTCCAAAAGGTGAGCAATTCACTTCAAGGGTGCCATTAGGCCACTTGAATGTCATAAATTATTTCATTTTGAAAAAGTCTAAGTGTGTGCCTATTACACAAAAAATTGACTTCCATTTTCTATTATTAGGTACAAAAGAAGTTGTGAGAGAAATAATACTCCCTTGATACTCTCTTGGACAAATGGATATTAGAAAATCTACAATAGTTAATCTGAGGAAATTGGTTTCTCCAAACTCCTCCTTCAGTTAGCATTAATAAAAAATGAAGACAGTGCTGAGTGAATTGCAGGGCCCTGGCTTCTGAACTTCAACCTACCGTCATGTAATATCTTATTCCAGCTCTTCCTGGATGCCCTTGTTTGTCTTTAATATACAGGCGCCTGATGACCTGCAAATAGTGAGGTTTTGGGCTGACTGGCCATAGCAACCCACTCAACATTTCAAGTCCAATCATGGCTGCTTAGATTCCCTCGTCCATCCCAGTCAGTGGTGACTGAATATTGTGTACAATAATGTCTTTAGCTGATATTATGCAGCGTTTGAACAACTAGTTAAAATGTGAGAAACAAGCCATCTAGAGTTTTCCTTTTTCACTGAAATCACAGTTGTTTTCGTATCCCAGGTATTGACCTGGTCTGTATTTACAAACTTAGAGAGCCTAATGGTGATCTCATTAACTTTTACTGTTACTTACTTATTATGGGTCCTATAATCTGTTTGTATCACTCCAAAATTAATATGCTAAAATCCTCACCCCCAAAGTGATAGTATTAGGACATGGGTATTTGGGGAGGGGATCATGACATGAGAATTGAGCCCTCATGAATGGGATTAGTGCCCTTATAAGAACAGGTCTGAGAGAGACCCCTCACCCCTTCTACCATGTGGGATTAGAGTAAGAAAACAGCTTTCTATGAGGAAATGGTCCCTCACAAGATGCCCTTTATGCTGTGCATTGATCTCGAACTTCTGAGGCTCCCAAACTATGGGAAACAAATTTCTGTTGTTTACAAGCCATGTTGGTTATAGTATTTGTTATAGCAGCCCAAGCAGACTAAGACAATGGGAAATCTGATTCTCCCCCCACCCCAACCAAACTACATATTATTATGAGTCAAGGTTCATAATTTCAAGGAGCAGAGGAGAGAATATGATTAGATCAGCATTGAGGCACTGTTTCCTTGCCAAATATCCCCAAAAAGGCCTAATTTGGAAATCCAACTACTCACGATTTGAAAGATACTGACTTTGTAGAAGCTCTGGTGGTTGGGTCATTCCACTCTGAAAAGAAAATATATAAACAATTACTGTTCATGTTTCTACTGTCAAATGATTATTCTGAATTAAATTGATCTCCAAACATGCAGTCCCCCAAATTACCTTCTTGGGATAAGTAATAGATTTAAAAAAAAAAAAAAAAAAGGAACCAATTAGATATATCATGGGACTGGAAGTCATTATGTTAAGTGAGAAAGGCCAGGTACAGAAAGACAAACTTTGCATCTTCTCACTTATTTCTGAGAGCTAAAACTTAACAATTAAAAAAACTTTTTGTTATTGTTCTTCTTTCACGTTTTAATGATTTTAAGTAGGAAAAAGGAAAAAATGAGGGAACAGAGAACATGGATGTTTGGACTAAGAAGGATTTTTCAAAACCACTTACTTTGTAAGGTGAATCCTGGGGTCAGATGCTGCGATTCCTACAAGGAAGAATGTATATGACACAAACATTAGTTAGATGACACAAGGAGAATAAGAGGCATGTTAATTATTGCTGAAGATGTAGTAGACTAATGTTTGCAAATAGGAAACTGCTGTTAACAATTCCATTAATTAGGCTTTTGTCTATAGCTCTATTTGAAGGATAAACGTTTGCCAGCCAAACCTGCTGCAACATGATTATAACTGCCATTTAATGAAAATTATAAGTAAGACTGGTATCTATTTGGAAATGTGTGTAACATGAGAACAAATGACCCATATGTGTGAAATTGAAGTGTATAATTTCTCACTTAGCTGGAAAATGATGCCTCTAAAAGAATAAAGAGGAGGTGGTTCAAACAGATGATCATGTTTTTTTGTAAAACTGTAAACAAGATCATCATTAATAGATCTGCTTGGTTTTTCCCTTTTATAGAAACAGATCCAACTTTCTATGACACATGTGCACAGATGTACCTCATTTTGTATATAAGAAGTGTTCTTAAAACTGCATTGCAAGTCTGTCGAAGTATAGGAAGCAATGTGAAATGTTAGTGGACTGTGTTATTTAAAGGAATTTAAATTTGACTTGAAAGTCACATTATACACAATTCATTCACTGTTTTGAGAAATTCAGATTTGCACATGCTGCCTTGCTGGGAGTGTGGCACACCTGTGTGGATACTGACAAAACATGAAGGCAAAATCATTACAGTAACGTTCAGGGCACACATGGCACTGTGTGGATGGAAGATAAATGGTACAAACCGCAATACAGGCATTCCAAAAGTGGAGACAATGAATTCAAGTAAATACAAGAATTAGTTATATCAATTATTGTTCCAAGTAATCTATTTATTAAGCCTAATATTGACCCTCTGTAGATGAAAACTAGGCTCACAGCATTCTTTATCTTGTATAAAAAGTAAGCAAAAATTTTAACACTTTGCTTTAATCAAAAGTGAAATTTCCAATGTATTTAGTATGATTCTGTTGCTCCAGAGATTTATCTTCTGGCAAGATCACCACTCCAGAAGACTACCACAAACTCAACAAGAGGCAGAAAAGGCCTCTTAGAGAAAGAACTGTCTGTTGCAAAGCCCATATAGTTTGCTGCTCAGAGGCTTCTGTGCTCTCCCTAATAGAGAACTGTCTTTTGACAAAGGACTCAAATGATTCCCACTCATTTTCAAATCACAGATGGCAAGGAAGGGGAAATATTTCTAGAGGCATAGGCACTGAGAAAATTGACAGGTGAAAACCAATAGCAAAGGAGCCCACAAAAATGACACAGAAAAGTCTGAACTTAAAAAGCACAAGAATCTACAGTCATTTAATATAGAGGCAAGCATTCCCATCTGTCTTAATAGACTCCGAGAACATAATTGCAGCATAGTATAATATTACACATACTACAATAATTTATGCTCACAATAATATATAAGTTATCAAGAAAGACTAAAGCATGCTTGACATAATCTTTAAAAGAAGTCAGGAAAATATTAATTACACTTCAAAATAATTTATATTGCATGATTCCTATAGAATAATAACTTTCAGTTATCCAATAATTTTAATTATCCAGAACATCTCATTTTCCAGAGTGTCAAATAAATGACTTGTTAACCATTTATATCTCTGTAACTATATACAAGTATTTTTATCTGTTACTATTTAAGAGATTTCATTACAAAGGTACAGGATGAGTTTGGGCTTGTATACCTCCAGGAAATTAAATGTCAAGTTCCAAAGTCAATTAAGCCAAATATCTGATCAGAGAGTAAAACATGTAGTCAGTCTTTGTACTGGTCTTATGCCTGAATTTTTAACTTTCATCCAAATATTTTGGACTTTACACCTAAACAATCAGTTCTTCCAGAGCATCAGTGCAACAATGTATACAGCAAACTGGAACATTATGTTATTCACCGAATTGGAGTAACTGATATATATTCTGGATGCATTTTTTAACGTTAAACTGAATTTCACATTTCTTTTTACTTTATTTTTTAATTTTTACTTTTTTTGGTACACAGTAGATGTATATGTTTATGAGGTACATATGATGTTTTGATTATTATGCATTGGATTTCACATTTCTTAAACTAGAAATCAAATCAAAACAAATGAAACACCTTTGTATATCACCAAAGTTACTTTACATACATATCCAACCCCAATTGGAAATAGCTTGGTTGTAGAAATAATCTGCAGAGTTCTCACAGTAATTGTTAATGCACAACAAACAATACAAATTTATTTTAAATGCCTGATTTTGCTTTATGAATTTCTTTCATAGACATGTCATATACGTAATTTTTGCAGTAAAATATACTGATGCCAAGTTGTTTTCACAAACTTATGAGGTTCTTTTAAGCAATAGCCTTGACAATAATCCTAAAATCAAAAGTTCCTAAAGGATCTAGATTCTAGAGCAACGGTCAGCTAACTTTTCCTGCAAAGGGCCAGAGAGTAGATGTTTGAGGCATTGGGAAACATACCATCTCTGTCATAATTACTAGACTCTGCCATTGTAGTGTGAAAGCAGTCATGGACAATGCGTAAATAAGTGGGTGTGACTGGATTCCAAGAAAGTTTGATTTATAGACACTGACATTTGAATTCCACACTCATGCGAATATTATTCATAATAATATATTAATTTTCTTTTGAAAATGTTAACCCTTTAAAGATGTAAAAACCTATGGGCCATAGTTTGCCCACCACTGTTCTAGAGGATGTTTACCTCCAGGAAAACTTTATTAAACTTCTCCTAAGGATATTATTACTCTCTCAAATCTACTTGGCATGCACTTAACTCCCTTCCTTGTGAAGTTTTTCATCGTCTATGAGAAAACATGGTATTTTCAATTTGAAATTGATAAATAAGTTAAGTTGAAAATTTTCAACTGTATTTGTTTTAGTAAGCTTACAGAATCATCAACTATTTGACCTAAAAAATCCATTGGAATTATATAGTGTACACACACACACACACACACACATACACCCCACGCCCCAATACAGATGGGGAAACAGAGACTTAGAGGAACTTGAACAGGACCACACAGCAAGCAAATGGCAGTGCCAGGATTAAAAGCAGCTGGGAATGCAGCTCTTAAGACAGCACTCTTTCCTCTGGGCAAGCTCTGTCATGGATGTAAGAAACTGATGCTTTCTGAAAGGATGCTGCCACCTAGTTCTAGTGGAAGCACTGAGGAAAGGGAAATCACCTTTGTTGCATATAGGGATGGCCATGTTTTGGAAGACACAATTTGAACTGGGGCATCAGTAAGCCTGTGTGATAAAAGACATACAGAGAGACAGTATGACCGCTGGTGCCAGAAACACCTGGATCTAAATACTGGTTCCCTCATTCATTAACTGGATAACCTGAGCACATTACTTAACTACCAGGTTTCTTCCTCTGTAAATTGGGATAGTAAAATTAACAATCTCTTTGGGTTGTAGTGGGGATTAAATTCTTTACTATATATTAAGTGCTTAGAATGATGTGAGGCACATGGTGCCATTGTACGTGTTGGTTGTTATTTAAAATGTACTTTTCTTTCAAACCAACATTTTGGCAGGAATCAAATGAAACAGGAGTGGGTGTGTAGACTTCTTGTTTCCACCATTTTAGCCCACTCACTTCTACCTTTGTCATGGGGTTGATGGTAGCACAGATAATGGGCAGAAAATGCAAACTGTGCCTGATTCCAAATTGTGCACTTACTACAAAAGCCCATTTAAACAACAGTTCTATTGTATACACTTGCAAATGTCAAAATTGCAACTTGCACAAATTATCTCCAAAATTGGAGAACTCAGCTGAAAACACTGCAATTGCTGTACAAGTGTTGGACCTGAACTGGATGGATAACTCCCTTTGCTGGAGATGCCACGGGGAAGGATAACAGGAGCCTAAAGAGGGTAGGTGAGAATGCGAAAATGAATAGCACACACCCATACTGGGACAGTGAGGTTAGCTGTTCATTTAGTTCTGACCTCTTTCATAAGTTAAGGAAGATCATTAAGCAAAGTTTAGACCAGTATTACTGTCAAAATCATGACCCTAAAATCTAAGGGTTTCTCCTTTGGGTCTTTCTCCTTCTACAAATAAAATCCAAACTCTTTGAGGTGGTATCTGAGGCATTTTCCAAAGATGCACCTATTTGCCCAGGTTTCCTCTCTTTCCACTCCCCATCACACAAACTTTAATCCTGCCACTTAAGACCTTATATCACCCACCATGCATTACAGCATGATCCCTCATCTCTCATGACCTTGCTCACGCCAGTCTTCTACATGCGGTATTCTTCTCTTGGCCCCTTCTTCACCCGTCAGAGTTTTAATCATCCTCTAAATGTTGCCACCTCAGTGGTGAGCACTTCTTCAACTCCCCACGGGAGTGTCTTGTCTTCTCTATGAAGACATTTACTACATTGTTTTGTGATCTACGTGATAGCATGTAGACGGTTTTTCTTCACCCCTAACTTTAAGCCCACTGTACCTTCTCAGTAAACAATTTCTGAATAAATGGATGGAAGGAAGAAAGGAATGGAGGAAGAAAGGAAGACATTATATATATTTTTAAAGCATGTTAGAATATCCATGTCTAGGCATTTTAAAAACTGATGGCAATAAAGCAAATCTTACTGGGAGAAGGTAAATAAAAATAATATTAAGCATTTGACAATAGAACTGCAGAAGGAAAAGCTCTGTCATTGTGATGTAGTGTTTTGTAAAGATCTGTCTTCTTGTGAGCAAGAACTGAGGTGATAAAAATGAAAATCAGTTCATTAAAGAGTATAGGTTTTATAACTTAAAAATCTTGAATGTTGCTGTTCCATCATCTATTTGATATTTCTTAAGGGATTGAATATTTCTTATTCAATCTCTGTCTCATCTGTTCTAGACACAGTGACTTGGACAGTGGCAACACCCTATGGAGTAAGATATGCATGCCAATATCTGTGTGTATTTTGTCTTAAAGACTCACTTTCAATAAAAATTATTTTTATATTGCTATTCTGAGGGGTAAGAGAGAGAGAGTTGAGATTTTATGGCACTAGAAGACCAAGGCCATTTTTGTCACTGAGAATCCAACTGGAAGATTGGTATAATTAAAATAAGACAAAGAAAAATGCAGGAAGGAAGAGAACTGACCTGTCCTGGGATGGAAAATGTGTTCTGCTCAGAGTGTCCAGCAGTATGCATGGAAGTGAGAGGAGTAGGCCAGGAATGGGTCATCTCCTAATGAGGAAAAATAAAGCAACTTTATTTCAGGGCACATAAAAAATCAAGCCCTTTTTTGGCACTAAACAGGGTAGGTCCTTTATAAATACTAACTTAATTGACCTAATATTTAAGGTGAATTTAAAATCATTTGGACCATCCAGCAGATGCTTGCACACTGCCAGTGACAGGGAGCTTGCTACTGCTTGAAGCAGTCTGCTCCATGTTGAGACAGCCTGATCAGGCTATTTTTCCTTCTTTTGTGAGTTAAAAACTTGTTCCTCAGGAAGTTCTACCTATATATTGTATTTTGGAGCTGCACAGAATGCATCTCCTTCTTCTTTTGAATGACAAGCCTTCAGCTGTTGGAAGATAGTAATCCTATCCCCCGGCATTGTCTCTTCTCCAGGTTGAGACATTCTCAGCTTGTTCATTCATTTATTGGGAACCTTCAACTTTTCTTCTAATGCTCAATTTCTGTACTCTGTCACTATCTTTGGTGCTTCCAGGAGGAACTCCAGATTGCCTGGGGCTCTTCTAACTCATGGTATCCTGTTCCAGGTGTGATCTGTCAGCTCAAGGGAGGACAGTACTGTCACCGCCTTCTGATACTCATCTTCTCTTGATACAGCCCAACAGGTAGTGACCCGTGATGCACATACTGTGGGTTTTTCCATGCAAAGATGAAGCCGCTGAGGGGAATTCTTCCTCATTCATAGAGGTTACTATGTGATTGGTAGCCCAGTTTCACACAGCCATACACATAGACAGTGTATTTGTGAGTTCAAGTCTCAAAACAGGAAAAGCCCCTTAGGCTCCCATCCTCTGTTATCAGCAGGGGCACCCTCTCAGCTCTTTCAAATACTCAGTTTGAAAGAAGTGCTGTTCAAATCTTACTTGAGTCTTAGGGCATGTGGCCAACATGCTTTACGCTAAGAGCAAGGATAATTGAATCACATGCTCAAAACCCCAGCAACAGAAAGATGATAAGTTTTGTGAAGCAGGAGGGAGTCAGTATGTGTTGGAGTCGTCATTTTCTTATATAAACATTAAGCATTAAAAAAGTCATGATAGAAATAAAGTAGGGATTTGGGGAGGGATGGAGGGGATCAAAATTTATGAAAGTGTTTTTTAATAAGTTACATAATACCTGTTTTTTTCCAGTTTTTATAAGTAACATAATTAGTCATTTCAAAGGTAATATTAATAAGAACTCTCAGGTAGCACTAAAACAAGGTTTTTTTCCTTCTATAATTACTCAGTTCAAAAAGAGTCTTTGATGTATGAAGAGCTGTAATGCAAGGAGATACTTCAAAGATTCATTCGCAGTGGCACTGCTGAAGCAGAATTTGTAAGTATTATTCAGACAAGGATTGAATTTTACCTAGCACTATTTAAAAAGGAGGAGGTAAGTACATTAAAAATGCATACACAATTTAGAGGAGATACTTAACCTACTTAAGAGATAGACTACTTCCAAGTGTTTTTGAGTTGTGCATTTGTATCCAGTTGATAAAATTCATGACAAATCCTACTCATGTATTCATCAAAACTGGCCACAAAGTAAATATATGTGACAACAGTTTAAAGTTGAATTCTAATTACTCTGAGTTTTAAAAATACTCAATGATCTCTTTTACAATTTAGATGGTTTTTCCTGATTAAGGCTGGTCTCCAAAACTGTCAGATCATTTAAAATATATAGCTTGGGATGGGGGAGATGTTGGTATAAGGGTACAAAGTTTCAGTTTGAAGGAGCAAGTTCTGAAGATCAGTTGCATAACATGGTGACTACAGTTATTTATAGTAATAATGTACTGTATACTTGAAAATTGCTAAGCCAGAGTTTAAATTGTTCTCACCATAAAAAAAGTATCTGAGGTGGACTGGGTGCGGAGGCTCACACCTGTAATTCCAACACTTTGGGAGGCTGAAGTGGGCAGATCACGAGGTCAAGAGATCAAGACCATCCTGGCCAACATGGTGAAACCCCGTGTCTACTAAAAATACAAAAATTAGTTGGGCGTGGTGGCATGTGCCTATAGTCTCAGCTACTTGGGAGGCTGAGGCAGGAGAATTGCTTGAACCTGGAAGGCGGAGGTTGCTGTGTACCGAGATTGTGCCACTGCACTCCATCCTGGTGACAGAGCGAGACTCTGTCTCAAAAAAAAAAAAAAGTATGTGAGGTGATGGATATGTAAATTAACTTGATGTAATCAACACACACACACACACACATCAAAAAAAAAAAAAAGTATGTGAGGTGATGGATATGTAAATTAACTTGATGTAATCATTCCACGATGTATATACATAGCAAAACATCATGTTTTACCCCATAAGTATATACAATTTTTGTCAATTACAATAATTTTTTTCAAAATAAATAAAATATAGTTCATATTTAGCCAGAGTCAATAAAACAGCAGTAAGTCTCTTCCAGGAAAAGGAGTGTTGTCTGTTTTCAGCAACTACTGGGTATACCTAAATTGATTAGAGGCTTGGTTTTATCCCCTTTCACCACTGATTTTAGAGGTGTGTCTCTGGGTTTATTGAAAGGTGTTTCAGACACCGGGAAGAATCAAGTCACTTCTCAAAGGTGTACCATTTCCCCCAGGTTTTCTGTGTTTACTTGGAGGCAGAATCTGATTATCTTGAACTACCAGTGGAGTGCACCACCCTGTTAGCCAATCCACATGGAACTGCACAAACTTCTGCATTTACAATTACAACTGATTTCAAACTGTATTTGAAAATGTGAAATTTCATGAAACAGCACACTGAGTCCATGTTACCGCTGATGCATTTGATTACAGTAGGCAGGATGTAGTTGAAAAGAATATAATTTCCTGAAAGAATATCTTCTGCAAAGGACTCTGGAGCAAGCAAGCTCTTTCACTTCTCAAAATGAGTTAGACTTGTAAAGTGTGGCATGCTCACGGCAGATATTCCATTGTTATCCTTTTTATTAACACTTGAAGGATATTAATCTATTTTATGTTCTTGCTATTCCTAAGATAAGACACCTATGCATTCTTACCCAACTTTACTAATTCTTCACCCAGTCATGAAGTAGGGATGAACCCCTGCTCCTAAAATGTTGCCACAGCTTTTATAACAAGATTCAATGATGAGTACCTGTATACAACACCAAGAATCACTTCTGTTTTAAGAAAAATAAGTCACACACACACACACACACACACACACACACACACACACATCTGAGACTGGTCTGAACTTCCACAAAGAAGCACGGATTTATGTTTGGGATCCTTTGATAATTTGAGAGAGACAGAGACAGAGAGAGAGAGAGAAAGCAAGTAGGGATTCATATTCTCAATGGGCAACTGAGGTAATGGGAGTTTCAAGAGGTGAGGTCACTTATACACAGCCTTACATTTAGTAGCAAGTGAAGGCTGATTACTGGTACAAGAGTGCACACTTTCCACTATAACAAATATGTGTCCCTTTGTAAGATTGACTAACATGGATAATGAAGAAAAGACTAAGGAATACTGTTTTATCTTTTAGTATTTAGCAAAGAATAGATTTCATAAGTGATAGAGCATTCTACATAACTTCTAATAATAGGAAGACACTTATATTAATGTGATATGAAGACTCCAAAGTCAAACCCCACAAAATCACAAAAGGCTCAATTTTCCACCATATTATCCATACAATAGGTCATGGCTAGGAGTCAAAACAAATCCAAAACCACTTGCAGGTATCCTTGCTTTGCCCAATTTAGACAAAAAAGCTGGGTATGCCACAGGCTGAAGGGCAAAAGACAGTCTGTGTTCCAGGCTTTGCTAATCTCAAATGGATCCTGTACTCATCTAACACACAGCTACCTGAATAGCTGTTATCTCAAGTAACTAGTATGTTGTCACAAGCTTTACCTTATTCACCTTTGTATCTCTCCTGCCTAGTGTGTAATAAGTAATTGGTTGGTCTTTTTGTACCAGAAACGAAACAGGTAGGGATTAGCCTCACACTCTTTTCACAGACAAGAAATCGAAGCACAAAGAGGTAAAGTGACTTGTCCAAGGTCACACAGCAAACGGCAGATCTGTTTGGTGGATTCTTTGCATTTGTTCTACTAATTTTTTTTTTTTTTTTTTTGAGATGGAGTCTCGCTTTGTTGCCCAGGTTGGAGGGCAGTGGCGCCATCTTGGCTCACTGCAACCTGCGCCTCCCATGTTCCAGCGATTCTCCTGCCTCAGCCTCCCGAGTAGCTGGGACTACAGGTACGTGCCACCCTGCTTGGCTGATTTTTGTATTTTTTAGTAGACACAGGCTTTCACCATGTTGGCCAGGCTAGTCTCAAACTCCCGACTTTGTGATCTGTCTGCCTCGGCCTCCCAAAGTGCTGGGATTACAGGCGTGTGTAGCCATTATAAGCCAGTCACTGGGACATGGAAAGGATAAAGTCAAGGACCTCTTTTTTAAGTCAAGGACCTCTTTTTGAAGTGTTCACTGCCTGACATGTGAATCACCTTAAGAGGGGAATGAGCAAAGGTGCAGAGAACAAGATGGTGGGGAAAGTCACTGTTCTAGGCATTTGGAAAAGGTTTCAATAATTGAAGAGAGAGGAGCAGTGTTTGTGAGCACACATGTGTGTTATGTGTGTGTGAATGTGTGTGTATTCCTTTTACAGGCTATCATTATACCTGGCACATAGTAGCTGTTCAAATGGTGCGTTTAGGTTAAGCATAAATATTAAGATACTTACTGCAAAAGAGCTCAAACTGAAGAGATGATTAGGGTGATTTTTCAAATGACCATCTTAATGAATGCTAATGATGATGATAGTTCACATATTTCATTGTTGTTGTGATACTCAGAGAGAGCCCCAAAAGCAACTTGGAGTAAGTATTAAGATAGGGAGAACTTAACTCAAGCCTAGCTCTGCCAAAAGCTATGTGGGTGGCCCTGGTCAAGTTGCTTGTCCATTCTGGGCCTCAGCTTTCCTGCTTATAACATGTGGGCTTTGACTCGGATGGCCTCTAGTT